AGACACAAAATTGAAGAATTCTCGTCTCGTAACTTCCTTGCGTTAAACTAACAAACTACGATAAAACGCGATAAATTGCGATAAAACAAAAGATAATAAACTAGATTTGGGTTCCAATCTTCTTCATACCATTAAACGAATGAGACATTACATATTTATAGGCACATAATCCTCTCCTCCTTCCTTATGGTTTCCGTCCACTCTTTCCTATTCCTACCCATAGAATGTAACCTTCTCCTACAAGGACACCACAACCAAATACCAAAAGACAATACCAATCCTACTAAGACTAGGAAAGAATAATAATAATATCCCAATTAATAACTAAACATTTAATAATTAATAAAACTACTAAAAATAGATGAGCCCAGAAATTCCTAGATTATTACGAATGGCTCGTATCGTAACAGCTCACTACAGGGGACAATATGAAATGTGTTTGGGAGCGCACAATCTTCTTTCCGCGAGACGCCTTAGCCATATCCCCAACACAAACATATAATGGTGGATAGGGGTTCTCAGTTCTCTTAAATAATATAAAAAAGTAAAGTTATAAAGGTTGTTTGTTAACAATAGCAAAGTAGAGGAATCTAAATGATCACCTACCCTAATTTATTATTGGTCCAAATCACTAGGGATGCCAATCAAACCTATGACTGCGGGTATCCGACCGCCTCTGACCTAGTCAACGCGAGGAATCCCTGCTTTGATTGGGTATGGGCGGGTATGGGTAAAACCCGCAAAGATTTTGATGGGTATGGGGCGGGTATGGTTTTAGCCAATACAGTCAAAATCGCGCTTTAAAACTTAAAAACTTACGGTTTTATACTTATAGGTCACCAAAACGCTTTCGTTTCTATGTAAAAACTTTAGTGTATCGAATCAGGCTAAGTTGCGTTTTAAAACTTAAAAAATTACGCTTTTACGCTTCTAGTTCATTAAAACGCTTTATGTTTTTACGCTTTTACTTCACTTAATTGGTATTCTTTTCATGAATTTAATTATAAAAAGTATATTTTAAAAATAAATCACCAACAATATGATACGTTTGAGATTAAAAGATACATACCAGATACTTGGATGCATTTTGAACTTCAATAAAGTAATCTATTTCACCGTCTAGGCTCTTCCCAAATTCATTAGCATGGAGGGGAATGTGGCTTCTTGATAAGATATATGTTTATGAACTTATTATTAAGAGGCTATAAGTTGCTCTACTTTAGACATGAATTGCAAGTATTTATTAACTTATCTAAATTTTGTGCACTCATATTTTGCATAGTGTATGTCGTACTTAACATATTTTTAGTTCTTTTACAGTATGCATAAAAAACTTATGCTTTTACGCTTTACTATTTTACCCCTTTTCCGCTTCTAGGTAGAATCACGCTTTTGACTAGGGATGGCAATTACCCATCCATGGGTAATTATACCCAAACCCAAATAGACCCATTGATAATGGGTTGGGTATGGGTGAAGTGCATATGGGTTTGGGGGTTTGTAGATGGGTTTGGGTAAGGTATGAATATTGCTTCCATAATCTAAATGGGTATGGGTTAGATATGGATATCCATTTACTTGAGGGTGTTTTAACAACACATGCAAAAATTGGATCTATTTGTAAAACTTGAAAAGTTTAGGTACCAAAATGTAAAACCAAAAAAATTTAGGTACCAAAATGTAATTTTCCATCGATATTTTGAGGACTTATATGCAAAAAAAATTAAATTTAGGTACTAAATATGCATATCTATTAAGTTTAGGTACCAAACTGTAATTTATATTTGAGTATGGGTACAAACCCAAATCCATTTGTTATAAACCCAACCCAAAGTAAATGGGTATGGGTACAAACCCATCAAACTCTACCAATATCCATATATTTGGATTTCATACCCAACCCAATTGGGTTGGATAGTAAAAAACCCATGGGTATGGGCAAAGTTGTCATCCCTACTTTTGACTGCATTGGTTTTAGCCTCTCTCGCCCCATACCTATAACCATACCCGCCCCACCAAGAGAATTTCTTCACATATAAAAAAACATGTGGAATCAAACTGTAACCTATCAATAATTATCGAGAAAATAAATAGTAGAAATTCAATTGAGTGACCGCCCTAATCAAAATAAAAATTCATTTACCTCAATTCTTCCTTCACTCTTTCACTTCCCTCCTTGTCAACAAGATTATATTAGTTAATTATTACTTAAGTAGATGTATCGGAGTTGGAGCATAATAATTTCGAAAATATTGTACTCTATATTATGTATTAATGTATGTTTTTGGATCATATTCTTTGAACCATATTAAGAAAATGATCGTATTTTGTTGACTTCATGATATAGTAGGTTCGTTAGTGTTATAATTAAAAATTTTCTTATAAAATTTTAGTTATAATAATGTTGGATGTACGAGCCGTGTATTACCAATGGGCACCCTAAACCCACATGTATGATGATGAGTTTGCAAAACATTCTTCGCCTTAGTATGAATTTGGATAATTGAAAACGAGTTGGCGATGGTTTATCCAAACTAGGGGTGGACAACGGGACGGGATTGGGTACCCGTCCCGTTTGAAATGGGTACCCACTGCCATTTGAAGAGAAAACTCCATCCCATGTCCCAAACCCGTACGGGTAACGGGTACCCATTACCCGTACGGGATGGATAACGGGTACCCGCGGGTACCCATAAAAATTTCACGGAGAAGGAGCCATGTCATTTGCCTACGTTGAGTTGAGGTTTACAGACAGTATGAGATGGTGTCGTGAAGCAAATTTCCTGAGGGGAGAGTTGAGATACTTTGTGAAGCATTATCTCTCGGTTCTGCAATTTGGCTATTCCATCATGTCCGACCTCTCCATTTTCACCACTAAGTTTAGCGCAAATGACTTTGGCATCATGGAGGAAAGAGTCGTCCAAGTGGGCGTACACAATCAAACTTTTTGAAACTCCTTCAGTTTACTACCAATCGCTCTACAGTCTGAGTTAGCTAGCTACTTCTTTTCCCGTAAACAAAGGCCTGAACCGTCACCTAGTGCAAGCAATGATATTGTTAATTGTTCCCAAGTCCCAATGAATTGTTGAAGGCGTTTGTTTCAGTACTGGGATAACAATTGGTTTGTTTCCTTTTCTTAATTGGCTAGTTTCAGTACTGGAGCACAGTTGTGGTTTGCTTCATTTTATGTTTAAATTATATGTCGCGTTGTGGTATGAGTAGTACGGGTACCCGTACCCCCTGTTTCCGAAGTAGGGGAGGAAAAGGAGGGGAGGGGAGGGAAAATTTGGAGGGGAGGGAAAAGTGGAGGGGAAGGGAATTGGAGAGAAAATGTTGTTTTGTTGGGGAAAGTGAAATGGATAGTGGGAGGGAAAAAGTATATAGGGAAGTGTGTGTGATAAATATGTTATTTTATTGATTATGTAATAGTAAGTATATGCAAAAAAAAAATGTGAAAATGAATATTATGAATAACCAATTTCTACATAACCATGATCATTTTTATTATTTGTTAATCGAACATAAATTGTTCATTTAACTCGATTTTATTTTTTCATACAAATTTGATTACCTTTGTAGTACAAGATTACGTCCATTCTATAAAAAATGTAACACTCTGATGTCGTTTTACTTGAAACTTAACACACATTTACATTCCACATAATTTTGTAACATAACGTTTTGTGGGACTTATGCAGGCCCGTCAATTTAAAAAAATTCCCATATAAATTGGATTAGCTCTACTTTACAAAATGACATCCATTTTGTAAAAATTTCACACTCTGAAACAGTAGGCATTTATTCAAATTATATTATACAATGTTTAAAAAACATAACCGTACCAGCCGGTCGGAACGGAAATATCGAATATCGATCCTAAAACAGTAGGCAATTTTAGCCGTAGAAAATGATTGAACTATAGTTAAACCACGATTTTAGTACAAATACATACTTTCTCGGTATAACATCCAGTACGGTTTTTTAATTCTTGATATTACACTCAAATCTCTCAACGCCCAATTAATAAAAAATAATAATATTAATTTGAACAATGAAGACCATAAAAAACAAAGTTAATTACAACTTATAATTATGTTTGACCTTACCCAAAATTAGAATTGAAAAGGGAGGGCGATTTCATTTTGTGGGAAGTAGGGTTAATAATAATATATAAAAAATAATTTCTTCCCATATCAATGTATTATAGTGAAACACTGAAACTTATCCGCAGCAATGGCTTCGGAAGCAAAGGGAAAGGCACAAGCCAACAAAAATAGGTAAAAAAAGTTATAATGAAAAAAAGATTTAACAAAGAAATAATAAACTAATGTAAAAAGCAGCATAGATGGAGTTTTCTCTCCATTTTGGGAGGACTAGTGGAACAGTGTATTTTCTATCCCATTTTCTTTCCTTCCTTTCTGTAGCGGGCTTCAAGAACAGCGGAAAGTGCCTTGGGTTCCTCAATTTCTAACCCTCTCTTCCCTTTCCCTCCTTTTCCCCTCTTCCGAAACAGGGGGTCTAATGACTAATGCGCTGCATAACCAAAGAAAGATACCCGTTTATTAAAAGTTGGATCCAAAAGAGAGAGAAAAGCTAAAGCTCTCAGTCAGGCCCACCAAATTACTTAAAAACCAACACAGTACTAATCAAGTGACTAGCCACTAATGCAAATTGTTAATTATAATAAAATCAGGAAACAACCATTGCCGTCCCCGAACAGAAGTCAAAAGTCAAACGACGAGCCTCCGACTCCGAGCCAGCCAGCCTGGCAGGCAGGCAGCTACACAGCTCGAGTCCCACACCGTAAGACCGACTTCTCCGCTGGTTCGAACTTTCGATATATTTATTTTATCTTTTAATAATTATCGCTTAATTTTATCGATACGTCATACGAGCTTCCCTTCTCGAACTAATAATAGTGATTAACAAAAAATAATAAAAGTAATTAAGAACCTGACACAAACGTTACGGCATCTCCGCCTTCCCTCACTCTCTAATCTTCTTTGCCTTTCCTCCTCCGTCCCGGTCTCCAAAATGCCGCCGTGTTATAATACTACTACAACACTACCACCCACACCTTTCACAATTTCTCCCACCAAAAAGAAAACAACAAAACAAAAGCAAGCTCTCTCTACCAACGCCATTAATTATTTAAAAACCTTAAAGAGAAGTAGCCGGAAGGGAACAGAACAGCAGCTGCAAGCGGCCACCGGCTTTTACTACTTGGAAAGTGTTCGTGGGTTTTTGGGTTTCTTCCTCATTCCCCAAAAAATCAGTGGCGTTACTTTCTGAATAGACCGCTCGGATAAATTTCTCTCTGAATTCGAAGCTCAGGGCTTAGAAATTAGAATCTCGCTCACTTTTGGGTTGTGGCCGCCAGCTCCTTCCACCTCTCTCTCTTTCTTTGGTTCTGTCTCCTCTGTTTTTTTGGCTTTTAGTATTCGTCTGCGGAGGAATTTTAGCGGTGTGTGGCTGATCTTTACGAGATGGGTTACAAGGAAGAAAGAATAAAATTTTGAATGTATGTGGAGCTCATGTGACTGCCGCAGTTTGGATTAATTATATAGAAGTAGTAGATTCTTGTCTCGCCTCGTCTGTGTTTTGGGTTTACTTAGGGGGTAAAGAAGGAGCCTGGAGTAGTAGCATTGCAATGGCGGAATATATCTATCTGCTCAGCAAGGTGACACCTCTTTTTCAGTTTTCTTTTCTGGGTTTCTGTTCTTTTGTGGCAAAGCGACTGACTTTCAGTTCAAATGCTACTGATTTTTTCTTGGAGGGAAGATTGGGAAATTTCTTTCCTTTTTTTGGGCTGGGTTTTGTTCGTTTTGTGTGTGAGAGATTTCGTGTTTTGAGGGTAAGATTTCTGGGGGTTCTCTGTAGATTCATCTCATTGCATGTCTCGATCTGGGTTTTCAAGACCTGGTTGGGGTTTAAGAGCTTTCTGCAATTTTTTGCTGACTGCATTTCTACGCTGTGTTAAGCTGAAAACCCAGATGTCATTCAGTTTTTCAATCCTCGTACATTGGCCCACACCCGTGTTTTTATTTTCTTCTCTTGATTGATGCTGAAAGCTTTTGGCTTTCGAGTTTCAGTTCACTTTGCTGAGCCCAGATTTCACCGACAGATTTGTATGTTAAGCTTTCTATCGCTGACGCAGATTGCTTGGTTTCTTCCTTCTCACAGGATGCAGTAATCATTAAACCTCCCAAGAAGTCTTCTATGTTATTGAGGATGGTGGTTCTAATGTTTGCCATGACGTTTGGTGTCTACATCTGCACCATTTGCCTGCAGCAGATTAGCGGCCTTAGCAAAGTAAATATTAAAGATATACAAGTGATTAATGAGCCATCCAATACTGCTGACCGTGGTCTCTCTCATGTGCCTAAGCTGCATTACCCAAACCCTGAAAGTTTCAGCAGGTAATAATAGAATGGACATTTGCATTTCATATTGGCCTTTGGTTTTGTTAATATCAGCTTTATGAGCATTGTTTCGTTTGTTTTTCAGGGAGGAATGTGTGGATAACCCTGTACGTTACTTTGCAATTGTATCGACCCAAAGGTCAGGGAGCGGATGGTTTGAGACCTTATTGAATAGTCATGTTAACGTGAGCTCGAATGGGGAGATCTTTTCGGTTTTGGATAGGAGAAGAAATGTCTCGGCTATTGTTGGAACTCTCGATCGGGTCTATAATTTGGACTGGTTCTCTAGTGCGTCCAAGAATGAATGCTCTGCTGCTGTTGGATTCAAGTGGATGCTGAATCAGGTAACTCAGAAAGTGTTGAACATGGAAGTTTAGTTAAATTTTTATAGTTAGGTGCTATACTGTTCTAGTGGTTGCCATTACAGTTCTCATGTGATTCCCTTGTCTCAAGTCTAGACTTCAGCAAAAGTGAGTCAGTTGCATTCGTACTACATTTGTCAAATGATGCGGTTTAGTTTCGTGGAGCAGTTGAAATTCTATAACCGAGTATCTTTGCATAGGACTAAAAAGTGTGACTGCTCAATTTTTGCAATAGAGAGCTATAATTGGTCTGTACTGTATGGTACTTCCTGTGCTGTTTTGATATCTTGTAATCAGGTGATATGAACATATATGGAATGTTTGCACCATGCAGAAGTTTCCTTTTTCTATAATGCTTGTGGCAGAACAATGCACTTAGGTCTATTTTCAGTGGATCTGATTGGAAATGCTATTTTCCTCATCTCGTCTCTGGTATCCAAGGGTATATTCATCAGATGATCTTACTGCTTTCATGAATCATCCTATGTGTAGCTTGCTGGAAAAGACCAATCTTTCATTTATTAACTATGACAAGGAACTGAAAACGAAACCATTTTTACCAGTTGCTGTGTTTGATAAAAGGGAATTTGCTATTTAAATTAATGCATTTCATGGTTTTCGGAACAGAACTTTTTTCACCATGTGTTTGTCTACTCCCTTAGTTAGCTTTTATCCTTGGTTAAACTGGAAAAAAAAGAAGACGAATATAAAGGATAAAATTGTAATGTACTGGTTGGACAAGAGAGGTTGTTTTTAAAGGATGGTTTTGTTACTGCCCAACAATGTGCTTATATCTCACCTTTCTTCTTCTTTCCGTAGGGAGTGATGGAGCATCACGAAGAAATAGTGGAGTACCTCAACCGCAGGGACGTGTCTGTAATTTTTCTCTTTCGTAGAAACCTACTTCGACGAATGGTTTCACTGCTTGCAAATTCCTATGACAAGTATGCCAAGTTATTGAACGGAACTCACAAATCTCATGTCCATACCACTGAAGAGGTTGCTCTTCCAGTCCTCCATAAACTTTCTTTCTCCTCTTTCGCATCTGCTTCACACCCATTCTTATGCTGATAGCCAGCCACTGTTTTGTTGCAGGCTGAAACACTTTCCAAGTATAAGCCCATAGTTAACTCCACATTGCTGATATCCGATTTGAGACAGGCAGAGATCTTGGTTGCGAAGGCTCTAGAGTATTACAACACCACTCGGCACATGGTTGTGTACTACGAGGATCTTGTTAACAACAGCAAGGTTGGTTGAAAAATGAAATATTATCTTCAGAAACATAGTTAGGTCCTGTCAGAACATAAACCTTAATTCTTAAACCAACTATAGAAGTTCTATTAGGGTAAGAATAAGACCACAAGTATTCTCTTAATTAGGATGAGAAAATACCACAAGTATTCTCTCAGGCTAAGAGAAGATCACAAGTTTCTATTTTTTGCTTAGAGTTGAAAGTATGGATCTTTCTGTTAAAAAACATCGAGTTTGACATTGTTGTATGATTTTTTTGTTGGTGGTGCAGAAACTTGAGGAGGTACAGGAGTTTATGAGGCTTCCGGTAATGGAGCTGAGAAGCCGGCAGGTAAAGATCCACAAGGGGCCATTATCAGAACTGATCAAGAACTGGGAAGATGTGAACAAGACGTTGTATGGAACTGAGTACGAGAATTACCTCAGGGCCGACTATTGAATCCCTTTGTGGAAGAAAGGAACTGATTTGGTTTGCTAACTTGCAGGAAGTGTGAATACAAACTACTCAGCTAACATGTTCTCTCTCATATGTGTATTTCATGAGTTGACAGGCTAATAGGGCTATGAAGGGTCTCAAAATTTTGACTGCCATGAGCAAAACTGCACGGCAGCTGCTGGGTCTTCTTTTGTTTTGTTGGCTTTCTCAACTATGCGTTGAGATTTGATTCCCATGGCTAAAGCCTGTGTTGTTTTGATCACCTTCTGGTTGATCATGCAGAGATCAAAGTTGTACATGTAGCCTACTCGCTTGCAGGAAAAGATTTATAATATATGAGCAATTCATTCAATTTCAAAGTCGGTATATTCCTCTTCGGTTTTTGTTCATTTCCAATGTCGTTTAATCCAGATTCAGTAGCAGAAGACCAGATGTTGTAGACAAAATCTATCTGGTTCTCTTGAATGTACAAGTTTTGGATGATTTCCGGGAACTGGTTTGTTACCATGAACTCTAGAAATGGGAAATCACATAAAGGAGGTTAGTTGGCCTTCCTAAATCATGATTAGTTAAGTTAAGCCACTACTTTAAGCAACTAAATTATTATATCCTAAAGAGTAAAACAGGGAAAAAAGCTTTTTAATATGATCTAATAAGGTTTGGTCGAGCTTTGACTCTTGATCAAAAGAAAGATGAAGTTAGTTAGGTATCCCTTCAATCTGAATTAACAAGTGCAATTGAGTATAGTTTTTTAACTTTTGAGGGAAAACAGTCTGATTGCCAACCAACAAGCATGCTAACCTCTGAAACACATATGGACAATATTAAAGGCATAAGAGATTATTTACCGTTGTATAAAATTTATGCTAATGTGAATGCTTGTCACTAAGTTACTGATCGAAATTATAGAACGATTCGGTATATGGCCTTCCGCTGGAAGCCTTATGCAACAGTTTGGTTGGCAATATGCCAATATATTGATAGTATTAAGTCTTGATAGAATTATACCCATGGATATGCGACATAAGGTTTTTAAGTTAGATAAAATATATATTTAATCTACTTGTCAGGGAATATCCGCTTTAAAGTACTCGACTGCTGTAGCGAAGCAAGGTTAAAAAACAATCAAGTTTGATATTATACCCATGGATATGGGACATAAGGTTTTTAAGTTAGATAAAAATACATATTTAATCTACGCGTCAGGAAATATCCACTTTAAAGTACTCGACTGCCGTAGCGAAGCAAGGTTAAAAAACAATCAAGTTTGATATTATGATTCAGTGGGGATCATGATATCATAGTCATCTTAGATAATAAATTTTTTGGGATGAATATAATATTTGGGGTGACTACTTCGGTGCACTCACTTTTTTGGGTGCATTCAATACACATATTTTTAAAAGTGGTCATAATACATCAAATCTTGGCAAAGGCTAGCGTACGCCCGGACGTACCCTAGCCTACCGTACGCCCGTTGAGTTTTGCCATTTAGTCAATGAATTAACCGGAGTTTGGGGCATGATACTATACACTAACCCCTGCTGGACGAACCTCAGTCCGCAATTCACTAACCCAAAGCATAATATTCAATCTTGATATGAAAATCAACAATTCTGATTCGTCGAAATTATTGTTGATTTTCATTTTAAGATTAAACGAATCTCATGATTCGGGTTAGAAAACTAGGGACTGAGGTTTATCCATTAGTGGTTAGGGTATAGTATCATGCCAAAAACTCCGGTTAATTCATGGTCTAAATAGCAAAACTCAAATGGGCGTATGGTAATCTAACGTACGCCCGGACGTACGCTAGCCTGAACCTCAAATCTTAAACTTTAGTGGGTAGCATTAGTCTAATATGATGATGTAACACAAAATCAAAACTAATCAGTCCATTACCCTAATCTATTAACCTTCAATTTTGAATCCCAACCCAAAATCCCAAATTGTAAACCCTGACCCTAACCCTATATTTATAAACCCTAAATCATTCAAATTAAAGTGAATCTTGAATGATTTTTGTGCAAATTCATGTGGTTCTTGTTTATCATACCATAAGTGATGATTGGCATCGTTTTCACATGAACTGGCAGCTCAAAATGGCGATTATGAGACGGGTGCATTGAATGCACCCAAAAAATTGAGTGCACCGAAGACATAACCAATATTTGGTATGTTTGTTTGAATAAAATTTTAGATATAATTGAGAAGCACAATAAAGCTCACTGAAGCTCTAAAATGTGACAAATGGTTGGAATTTAGAAGTAGAGGGTCATCCAAACAAGAATGCAGGGTCCACATGAATCATGACGTGCGTTCAATGGCTAGGGTATATCATACACCAAACACAAATATACCTGTGGGCACACACCACCCCTCAAAAGGTATATTTTTTTCTCATTCAATTGGATGCAAAATGTCTACCTATATAACAACTAGCACAAGCCAAATATGTTTACTGGAAAATCTTGATAATTATATAATTTCTATGTATATGTATTATTTATATAGATGATGTGTGTTTTGTTTGGTATTTGATCATGAATTATCTAGCTAAATACTTAAATGAATTTGAGTATGCTTAGAACGTATTGAAAATATGAGAAAGTCAAAACGACTAACAAAGAAATACAACTAATAGTGACATATCTGGTTACAAACAAATTGTTGTCTATATAAACAATCCATAAATGATAACATGAAAGTTTCTTCCTATTCCAATGATACATACATAATAAAATAATCAATCTTCACCATAAAAGAAAATTATTTTACTTTAGTGGAGTTCAATGTATCCATAAAATATTTATTTTTCTCAATTTTATCGTCTTTGTTGATCATGGCATGAGTGATTTAGCTCTTTATTCGAACAAATGTGGACAAATCATTGCCATAAAATTGTTCTTCGACATTTGCATTCATTGCTCTCGTGTAAGTTTAGCATGCATATTTGAGATGGTAGTGAAAAAATAACTAATTTTAGGTTCATGCTAGTGTTCGCCAGACATATGCTTATCTTACCATACGCTCATCTAGTTTTGTTATTTGGACCATAAATTAACCGGAGTTTAAGACATGATACTATGCCATAACCTCTAACAGGTGAACCCTAGTATCCAATTCTCTAACCCGAACCATAAGATTCATTTGATCATAAAATAAAAATCAACAGTTCTCTTTCGTCAAAATTATCGAAGTTCAAATAATAGATGTGAACGCATGTGTATAACGTATACCAGAAGTATGCTAGCCTTTGGCCTAAATTATTATGTTTAACTATATATATTGAACAATATAGTTCAGTATATAGTGCACATGAGTTAGATAATGGTTTTTTTCACCGTAGATTTAGATTTGTCACATTGACAAAGATAATTAAACTTAAAAGGAATAAAAATTATCTTATTTGAGTTAATGTACCTCCACAAAATACTACTTTTTTAAAGAGGATTCATTAAGAAAACGAATGGGCTAAGGCCAAACGGAAAAGTACAAGCCACATGGCCCCAAATTGACAAGAACTGTTTTCCGGCGAGGAAAAACTGGTGTTTGATTTCAATAAATGCACCTTGACTTCATGAACAACGATTAATACACACGGTTCACACCTCTCCGAACAATGTTCAAACGAGGGTGTTTGATGATTTTGATGGCTAAGAAAACTAAGTTAAGTTAATCTACTCCTATGGAGGTTCAGTGAGAGCTCCAGAAACTAAAGGCTATAACTATGATTACATTGCAGAGAAAAAGATAAAGTTTGACATGTGTTGTCAAATGGTTGTTTGTGGAACCCTTTTCCCGTCTTCGTTTCTCCTATTTATAACCACTGGGTGTAACTGCCTTGGTAACCGCCGTAGTAACTGCTAGCTGGCCTCTTGCTCCAAACCACCTCGGGGTCCCTTGTCCCGCCTTGGTGACTAGTTGGTAACCGTCGCCTTGGGGGCCCTTGTCCCTCCTTGGGGCTGGTGGGTACTTGATGGTCTCGATGTCGGGCTAGGTTGGTGTTGAGCCTCTTCGCCTTAGCCTCCACGATGAAGTCTTGAGCACATCCTCGATAGCCCTGACGACTCCACACTCCTCGTCTTGCTAGCCACCTCGATGAACCGTCTTGATAGCTAGGCCATATTACCCACATAGGTAGGACGAGAATTTGGCCCCTTTACCCCCAAGTCTCCACACTTAGTCTTAGAGTGACTATCATGGCACCAACTTGTCATCTTGGTATCAAGCCAATCTTGTAGGCTTGATACCCTTGCTACCAAACCAGTCCTGCTGGCTTGGTATCCATACTTAGCTTCTGCAATCTTATCAAGTTGGTACCTTGCACCCTGCCGGCTTGGTACTCGTTAGGGGCCACAAAGCCCATCTTGGGACTTAGTCTCCATATGACCACATAAGGTTCTCTACGAGTCCTCATCATATTGACACCCTCAGCTAGGCATCCTGGCTAATTCATCCATGGTTGTTTGATACCTAGTTGGGTGGCCACCTCAGCTAGCCACCTTGCCTTAGTCAAATTTCTTGTCTTGTTGGTTTGATGCCTTGATGTCGGGCTATCAAACCCGTCTTGTCTACTTGATATCCAAACTTAGTTTCTTTATGACTCTCTTAGTTGGTACCTGACTTGGCCCCCTGTTGCCTGGCCACCAAGCCTGTCTTGCCGGCTTGATACCCCTTTGGCTCCATACTTAGCCAAATTCCATGGCTTGGTACCAAGTCCGCCTTGCCGGCATGGTACCCTCTTTGGCTCTATACTTAGCCAAATTCTATGCATTTTGGTATCAAGCCTGCCTTGTCGGCTTGATACCCCTTTGGCTCTATACTTAGCCAAATTCTATGTAGTTTCGTCTTGTTTGGCCTCCTGTTGCTATGGGTGGCCTCGTACCCTATTGGCTCCATATTTAGCCAATTTCCATGTTTGGGTACCAGGCCTGCCTTGCCGGCTTGATATCCTCTAGGGGTTTTGGTACCGAGACTGCCTTACCGGCCTGGTATCCCCTTAGGTCCATACTTAGCCAAATTCATGGTTTTCATGTCTTGATACCAAGCCCGGCCTTGCCGGTACCACCCATTATGACCCCCTGTTCATTGGAATTCCCTACATAGCTAATTTCCATACTTGGGTACCAGCCCTGTCTTGCCGACTTGGTACCTGGTCGTTTGGCACTCGGTTGTGCCGCCTTGTTTCCAGACTTAGTTTCTGGATGGCCTCCTATTTGGTATCCGGCTTGGTACCCGGTCGTTTGGCACCCCATTGTGTCGCCTTGTTTTCCATACTTAGCCAAATTTCTTACTTGGGTACCAGGCCTGCCTTGTCGGCTTGATACCTCTTGTTTGGCCCCCTTATTTGGTACCAGGTTTGGTACCCGGTCGTTTGGCACCCCGTTGTGTCGCTGTTACACCCCGATCTTGCCAAAAGTCAAAATGACTATTATAGCA